CAATGAGACAGCAACTTACCAAAACCTCCAACCAATGTATTTATGAATAGAAATGTTGCATATATATAGGTAAATAAAACAACACCCTTCATGTACCAGAACCTCAAACTTGTATTGTTGAAGGCCGTATGGTGACCTATAGTTGATAATTTCTGTGTCATTTTGTCTCTTGTGGAGAGTTGTCTCATTGGCAATCATACCACATCTTCTTTTTTATATGTATGACTAAAAATGGAAATGTACGGTATAGGTATAATTCAATGAGACAGCTACCTACCAAAACCTCAAACAAATATGACTGTAATGAAAATGTGGGTTATAGGTCAACGAGACAACAACCTACCAGAACCTCCAACAAATATGACTATGAATGTAAATGTAGGATAAACGTCAATAGGACACCAACCTATCGCATCCTCCAACAAAGATGACAATGAACAGAAATACTTTCGAAAGAAATGTAAGGTATAAGTCTTTGAGATAGCAAACTAACTAAATTAACCGACAACAATATGACTATGAATTTTAATGTAGCCTATACGTCAATAGTGCAGCAACATACCAGAACTTCCAACAAATATGACTATGAATAGAAATATGAGGTATAATTCTATGAGACAGTAGCCTTTCAAAACCCCTAACAAACATATCTATTTTTATAGAAATGTAGGATATAAGCCAATGACACCTATCGAAAAATCGAATGAATATAACTATGCATACATCGAAATATTGGGTATAAGTCAATCAGACAGCAACCTACCAAAAACTTTAACTAATGTGATTGAAAATGAAAATCTTTGGTATAAGTCAATGAGACAGCAACCTACCAAAAACTTCAAATTATATGACTAAAAATGGAAATATTGGGTATAAGTAAATTAGACAGCTGCCAACCGAAAACTCCAACTATTGCGACAAAAAATATGAATGGGGGTATAAGTCAATGAGGCAGCAACCTATCAGAATCTCCAAAAAATATGATTGCGATTGTAACTGTAGGGTATAAGTCAGTAGGACAGCACCCTATCGTAACATTAAAAAAGATGACAATGAACAGAAAGTTGAGGTATTATTCAAAGAGACAGCAACTTACCAAAAACTCCAACTAATATCGCTGAAATGGAAATGTTCGGTGGGTGTAAGTCTACGAGACAGCAACCTACTAAATTCTCGAACTAATGTGACTAAAAATGGAAATGTGGGGTATAAGTCAATGAGACAGCAACCTACCAAAAACTTCAACTTACATTTGTATATGGCTAGAAATGGAAATGTTCGGTGTATGTCAATGAGACAGCAACCTACAAAATCTCCTACAAATATAACTATAAATGAAAATTTGGGGTATATAATTCTATGAAACAGCAACTTATCAAAACATCCAATAAATATGTCACATGGGTCCAAAATTCCCCTCAACGTACTTTTCAAGTTCCTACGGCAAAGTTTCGAACGAGACCTCTCTCAGTTTAAAGATATTGACCGAGTCCATTGCCCACAGGGGTCTAAAGGTGCAATTTTGCGTATTGTCCATGTCTAACACACAATCGGTACTTCTCGGCAAGTCGGGAATGTGACAGTTGTTTTCCATTCGTTTTATGTTATTGGGTTTTTGATTTTCCTATTTGATATTTTCCTTGGTATTCGGTATTTTTTGTTATTTACTTTTTCAGTACTCCTCGGCAAGGCCCTATGGACAGTTTTTGAAAATCTGGGTTAAGTTGAAAACTTTTGACCATGCATTGAATATATTCTGTTTAAATAATGCACCGTTAGTGCATAGATTCGTGCCAATGTCTGAGTCATTTTTTTGTACTTGCACATTAAATTTTTTTTGACAAATAAATTTCAAGTTTACATTAAAAATTGGTAAAGGTGCATGACGTACAAAACAGTCCAAGTTAGATTGTCATAGAAAATACTTGTCTTACACTGCATCTTCTTATTCATTTCAATGGAAATATATATATATGTGTATATATACATGTAACACAATTCATCACAGCTGACTTAAATCATAAATTAACAATAGTAGTTGTACTTAGATTTTTTTTATTTTCTATTCTTATATTGTTTCTGTACCTGCTAAAATCTTGAGGAATTAAAAAAAAAAGTAAAAGAAAGAAAAAAAAATTAAAAAATTAAAGTGTATATTTTTTTGTATTAAACAAACAGTATACACCCAAAAAAGGTGGCTGCTGGCATCATGATATATAAAACTGATTGTCATCTTATGAGAGTCACGAAAGGACGTGAAAATGTCGAATTCCACTCTCAAAGGAGGTGCTATTATATTTAACTAAGATTTTGTTTTTGTTTTTGGAACGTTTGAGTCTATAAAGTTTTTTCTTAATTTTTAGACATAACATAAAAATTGGCTGCTGTAAAAAAGTGGCTGCTATCTTGATTGGCTGCTAAAAGTGGCTGCTATCTTGATTGGCTGCTAAAAATGGCTGCTATCTTGATTGGCTGCTAAAAGTGGCTGCCAGCTTGAGTCTGGATCAATTATTTTATGTAAAAAAGAGGCGAAAGATACCAAAAGGGACATTCAAACTCATTAGTCGAATACAAACAAACAACGCTTTTCCTTTTATAAAAAAAAAACACAAATTTGAAATTTCAATTTCGGTCATTCGTTTAATGTAGGAATGTAGGTAGAAAAGAGAATGGAAACGGTATTTATATTCCTAGTCGTTTATCTTTTTTTCTTTTTTTTATTTCATTAGTTTATCTTTATCTGCTATTGTAAGTTCTCGATACACAAATCTCTTTTCAATCCATCCATTTTCCCTAACACATGCATTTTGTACATTTCAATCGGTCACCCACCAATGTAGCGCCATGTAAAGTGATACAAATATATCGAGGGTCTGGATTGGGTTTACGGAAGGAGAACAATGGGCAAAAAGAGCAGAATAAAGGACAAATAAATGTGAAAAGTAGAGAAAAATAGGCCAAACAATAAAGAATAGAGAATAATGGGGTGCATAAATATAAAAAAATATAGAATAAAGGGCATATGATTCATAAAGATTAAAAAAAAAAGTCTAAAAAAATACTTAAGAAATAAAAGAACCCCACGCAGACCCTCAGATATCAATAGACTTGAACGTATTGGAAGGAATTACCAGGGCATGTAAATTTGTACATAGCATGCTGTAAATGAAACGACCAACACGAGTTGGAAGCAAATGACCCTTGCATTTTCTCAGTGTTGAAGGCCGTACGGTTGCCTATAATTGCTTACATCCACTTTATTTGAACTTTGGTGGATGCATGTAGTTTTCTCGTTGACAATCATACCACATCTCCTTATTTTTATCGTGTCTATTATAAACGACAACCATTAAAAGAAGAAACAAAAGAAGATCGACTCCACTTACAAAGCTGCATAACATAAAATCAGTTCATGACGTCACAAGTGCATGACGTATTTAATCGGACACTTCGATGACTTACTATAATCCTTCTTTTGTGGTAATTGTCATTTAATTTTAAAAGCAAAATAGAGGCATTTGCAGTCGGTTCTATAAACTGGTAACTTATTAGAAAAACTTAAATTTAATTCTGGACTATAGAGGATTTTAGATAAGAGCTTTTTTCTAAGGCCATATATGACAAGTGATGAACAAATTATCTTAATGTTCGTTTGAAAGGATAATTATTTGAGCAATTTATGAAATTTTCGTAATGTTAAAGCACTGAACATTAAACGGAATTTAGAATAATTTTAAAATCATTAACTTTATTAGACATGGAACGTTTGGTGATGATTCGACTTTTAATTGCACATAGCAGGTGCCTGCCATACATGTATTGACAACTGATGTGTTAAAACGGGGATGTTCCGTTTAGTTGGTTTAAGTGTTGGACATTAAGCGTTTTTTACGATAAGTGCATGATAAATTTCATCCCACGTGTAACCTTTAGCGATAATCAAATTTGTGATTAACAAAACAAATCTGGTATCCATCATACATACATAACCAACAGTAAGGAGGAAAACGGGTACGTTTCATTTCGTTGGTTTAAGTGCCTAACATTTAGTGTAATTGTTCTCCTCCTACATGTAACTTTAAGGGACAATCAAACTTTAATTGTCAAAACAAATCTGATTTTCATCATATATGAATTGGCAATCGTAAGGATCATAAAGGGGACGTTCCGTATACGGTTGGTTATTGTGCTGGACATTTAGCGTAATTGCCGATATTGCATGCTAGGTTTTATCATGTATATGTATGTACAATGTAATCTTTAGGGATAACTAAATTTTTTATATTGAAGAAAAATCTCGTCTCCAGCATACATAAATTGACATCAATTTATCAAAAAGGGGACATTTTTGTTGGTTCGAGAATTGGACACCGTACAGTGAAAAAATGATGAGACTTTCTGACATTAACTGATTAAGCGATGATTAAACTAACTTTAAAAGACATCTTAGTAGCAACAAATACATCCCTATTTATAAAGTTGAAGTATGTACATTTTAATTAACTGACAACAACCGCCTAAATCGGAAAAATCGCTATATAACTTTTTAGTAATTTAGCTTTCCATCAAGTCTTAATAGCCAGGTGTGATGACCAACTTCAAATTTTAATATCAAATGTATACAAAAAAAAAAAACAAAAAAAATTAAATGTCCTCAATAGCATGCACCATCAATTGTATCAGTTCCGATCAAATAACATTTTATATACACAAAAAAACATGTTCTCCCGCTCGCACCACTTTAAATACTCTAATGGAATTCTTACTCTATTGTTCTTTCAATTAGCACACATTTTATAATACAAAAATTCCAGCGCATATTGTACATAAATATATCTGGTAGATTCTTTAATGTCACCCGGTGCTGTGATGGCATTAATAACTTAAGTTGTTTAGCCATAACCCCAGGCATTAGGGATGATTACGATAATTGCGACAATCTCAGTTGTTATCAAAGACTGTTTAATTCAATATGAAGTGATTAAAAGTATAAAGTAACCATTTGATATCATCAATTGAGCCAAAGTGTCCGCTAGTATGCATGTCGAACGTACGTGTGCGTTGATACTGACCTTGGTGAATAATTTGGTAAGAAACTTTACTTTATTTTGAATACTTTTTTTAATTTAATCTTAAAGGATTAAAGGAAAATTTAATACTTTTTATTTTTACTTTGACAGTTTTTAATTTGAACGGTCTTATATTGTGTTGTGTTTTTTTGTTTTCCCTGTAAGTAAGCGAGCTAAATGTAAAAAAAAAATAAGAAAGAAAGCAAGGGAAAATTGGGGTTTTCTTTTCATTTTTTCGGGGTTTTTTTTGTTTGTTTGTTTTGTTTTTGTTTTATTTTGTTTAGGTTTTCTCATTTTTTTTCAGGGGGGAAAGGGGGGGGGGGATCACGTATGTCAACTTGTTTTTTTTTAATAATTGTGTATGTTTGTTTGATAAATACACAATTTTATATTAACGTCCAGCGACAAATATTTTATACATGTTCATATGAATGACGAGACAATATACGAACTATCTGCCACTGGGCTGCATTTATAATCATAATCAGTCAAACGAACGGAATTAACATTGAGTCGTACCACTCAGACGGGAAACTGGGTCAAATTTGAATTACCAGAGTACACACGGGACAATTCAATACTTTTGAAGACAAAGAGCGATTGGGACATACTGTTTAGATATTTGTCTATGTTGAAAATCATGTTTTAGCTTCTAGCTGTCTTATGTTATTTGTTAGTTGAGATTGCTGTCAATTTAAATATATTCTACATTTTTTGTCAATTTTCCTTTCTCACTGCGGCCCTATAAAAAAGCAATAAAAACAAACAGAAAAACTCAACAATAATGTATTAATTTATCTTTAACAACAGTGAGCAAACTAATTTCTACGCCTGCCATCTCAAAAATATGAGACCCAGCGACCAAATATCCCCTCCTTGCTCCCTCACACATTTATTCTTCTTCAAGGATGATTTTAATAACCTTACGTTGTTGTATTTGTTTCGTCTGTGTGGATGTCCGGGAGTTAATTCACAAAACACCCGTGAACTGAACCCGATAATGTCTCCGTAACTAAGTTTCCGTGAATTATAGTTCTTATTCAAAACATTATTTCGCACCCATTATTGTCTCCGATAAATAGTTCGTTAAACCAGGTTATTAAAGGGTTTGTCAACGTGTTCAATTAAGCGGGGACTTACAATGCAATATGTATTCGGAATTAGTTGTAAAAAAAATCTTTAATCTCTGCAAGGTTTTTTGACGATATACTAGACTAGGCTTAAGTCTATGTCCTAAATTAAGCAATGGTCTAAAGGAATCGAATTTAAAGTACGTGTACATTGAAGAATTATATACCGACAAATAAGTGAATATTTTTTGGCTGAACCTTTGTTACATACATACATGTGTAAAAGTTCGAACATTTTCTCTTGTTTATGCGCAAAAAGAGGGATGCACATCACGCCTAAGTACATGCAACAGTTTTTGAGTTGTAAAACCCATAAATAGCATGTTTGAATATCATATGTAGAGACATTCTAATTTGTGTTTCATTCAATTGACTGTTTGCTCGAATGTAATAAGTCATTGTCTTAATCGGCAGACAACAATAGATAAAGATACTATGCCGTGCAATCTTTCGATTTAGATTAATTTTCAATGACTACAAATAAATCTTTATTCCAAAACTTATTTCCAAATATGACAAAACAAAGCATTAAGATAAAAGGATAATGATTTGAACAGCACTGTTGTCTTTAAAGAATTCATTTTATACGGGGGACATTTTCAAAACGTTTTTCCAACCTTTACTTCTATTCATGGTATTACAGTCCAATGTGTGTACTATACGGTTATACCATTATTTTTTATTATTTCTATACAGATTCCAAATCAAAAACGTCTGAACAAAGCCCCAGTTTGATGTTTGATGTTGGCAATAATTTAATTTGTATATCAACCATGTATAAGAAAATCGTTAACCAAAAAGCAAATTTGTTTTGGAAGTAAAGCTATGTATTATCTTTTATGTAAAAATTAGTTATTTCTGTTAGCGTTAGCGAAGGCCTTTGATGCAAAATTTGAGAAAACATGTTAAATGTTCAGTATTGAAGAACAATTCCTTCAACAGCAACAAGTAGTGTTGAATAGCATTTTGAACGTATCGAAATTTGTAAAATAAAAAAAAAATAATTAAAAGAAATGATGTAAACTCTTGTATACTAGTATTTAGTTTCCAGTAGGATTTGACAACTTTCATAGATTTTTCCCTATGAGTACCAGTGTATCAAGAGAATTTGGCCCTCCTCATTCAAGTTAATAAAAAATGTGATTGTTCTAAAACTAGGGATTCAACACCCTCTGACAAAGCTCTTCTAGATCTGTGTTGACCCTTAGCTTTCGAATGCTCTCAAAGAACTAGCGCTTCAACTCCCTATGACAAAGGTCTTCTAGATCTGTGTTGACCCTTAGCTTTCGAGTGCTCTCAAAGAACTAGCGCTTCAGCTCCTTCTGACAAAGGTCTTCTAGATCTGTGTTGACCCTTAGCTTTCCTGTGCTCTCAAAAACTAGCGCTTCAACTCCCTCTGACAAAGGTCTTCTAGATCTGTGTTGACCCTTAGCTTTCGTGTGCTCTCAAAGAACTAGCGCTTCAACTCCCTCTGACCAAGGTCTTCTAGATCTGTGTTGACCCTTAGCTTTCGTGTGCTCTCAAAGAACTAGCGCTTCAACTCCCTCTAACCAAGGTCTTCTAGATCTGTGTTGACCCTTAGCTTTCGAGTGCTCTCAAACAACTAGCGCTTCAACTCCCTCTAACCAAGGTCTTCTAGATCTGTGTTGACCCTTAGCTTTCGAGTGCTCTCAAACAACTAGCGCTTCAACTCCCTCTGACCAAGGTCTTCTAGATCTGTGTTGACCCTTAGCTTTCGAGTGCTCTCAAACAACTAGCGCTTCAACTCCCTTTGACAAAGCTCTTCTAGATCTGCGTACGTACCGGATGAAGGTTGTTTCCACTAGCGTACGTATCTGATGAAGGTTGTTTCCACTAGCGTACGTATCGGATGAAGGTTGTTACCACTAGCGTACGTATTTAATGAAGATTATTTCCACTAGCGTACGTATCGGATGAAGATTGTTCCCACTAGCGTACATATCTGATGAAGGTTGTTTCCACTAGCGTACGTATCTGATGAAGGTTGTTTCCACTAGCGTACGTATCTGATGAAGGTTGTTTCCACTAGCGTACGTATCGGATGAAGGTTGTTACCACTAGCGTACGTATTTAATGAAGGTTGTTTCCACTAGCGTACGTATCGGATGAAGGTTGATTCCACTAGCGTACGTATTTAATGAAGGTTGTTTCATATATACGTGTTGTGTTGAAAGAAATCGTAAAAACTGTTTGTTTTTTTTTAATATATCAAATCATTATTTACAGTTGTTTGTGTATGGACAAGACATTAATGATCTGATTGAGTCTGCAGCTAATTCAAGTAAGTTTGTTTACCTCACATTCAGTATCAAATATGAAAATGGAACCTTACTTATATAACGCTTGTTTTTCTGAATGTTTTTTTCTAGACAACAAGCGCTATGTTTTCAAGTATAATACTAATAATTTATTTGTTCATATTATTTTTTATTTAATTAGTTTCTTGTATACACTATAGTAACAAAAAAAAGGGATTTCACTTTAATTTACGAGAATATTTTCTTGGTACCTCTGTATCATTGAATATATTTGTCCAGCTCTTTTATCTTCTAGTTGACTTGTGATTTTTATTGTAGGTAACGAATTCAATTTCTTTTATGATGCTAGTGGTGAAAATGCTATAATAAAGTATGAATTAGATATCCTAGCCTATGTTAATAAATGGAGTGAAGAACAGGATATGTAAGTGTTGTAATCCATAGACATATTCCATTGTGTTGTGTAGTAAAATTTGTATGCATGCCAATTTTTGTGCTGTTACACCACTGTCCCAGTTTGTGGGGGGGGGGGGGGGGGGGGGGTAGGTTGGTTTCCTTCGTAAAATATTCCGTATGCCTTCAAATTATCAAATAACGACCGGGTACCAGTCTAGGGTGGTTGGGCACCCGCAAACATGTTTAACCCCGCCACATGTGCCTGTCCTAAGTCGGGAGCCTGTAAGTCAGTAGTTGTCGTTTGTTACTGTATATCATATTTGATTGTCGTTTATTGTTTTGTACATAAATCAGGCCTTTAGTTTTCTTGTTTGCCATTTGTAGCTTGGTACGCGGTGTGGGTTTTACTCATTCTTAAAGGCGGTATGAAGACTTATAGTTGCTAACTTCTACGTCATTTTGGTCTCTGGTCGAGAGTTGTCTCATTGGCAATAATACCACATCGTCTTTTCTTATATAGCAACAGATACTTACTTATTCGTCTCCGGGGTCCCCCTTCATTGTATTCATGTAATTAAATGATCCATTAAATGTTTGCTTTTGACTTGTGTAATCATCATGGATTGTCACACACCAGTATGCACATCGGTTTATACATTAACTACCCTTATATATATTCCATTTTAATTATTGTTTTCTTTATCTAAATAAGACGCCACATACAACATTGTATACTGCAACCGTTAGCACCGAGACGTTAATAACATGTTTCAGAATAGTTTATTTATATGTGTTACAAAACAGGATACAAATGCTCGGCAAATTTCGCACAAATAATATGGCAATCTAAGAATGTCTCTGATTACTACGTGTGAAATTTATTGGAGATATTCCAAATGATATGCAAACTGATCAAATAATCTATGTTAAAAATGTTTGGTAAATAATTCTTTTTTCTTTAAGGATGGCAGCTGACGGTAATTCCTTAAAGAGAAATGCTCTGCGAAACACTAACCGTAGATGGACTTCAAATACAATCCCCTATGAAATAAGTGGTTATTTTTGTAAGTATTTATGCATTATGATATATTTAACCATTTTTTATATACATAATGAATGCAATCTAATTCAGTCAATCAGAAATATAAAAAGACAAAACATTAGCCTAATGTTGAGGCATGTTTGTGACATTATTATTTGCGATACATATGTGATCTATGAGCGTGTAATTCAGAAACAGACTTTTCAAAGTGATTTTCTTCTGCTTGTGTTATACAGAAACTCACAGTTCGCTTGTGATCTACTTGCGAATGTCACGTAGAAATAAACATTTCGCATGTGGTGTATTCTGCGTGCGTCACAAAGAACAGACAATTTGCATGTCATCCATCTACTTCTGTTAGTACAACTGCAGAATAAGACATTTATCAAATTCTCTTCTTCTTTTTGTGTCATCGAGAATCAGCAATGCGCATGTGATCTGCTTCTGAGGAAGTCGTACAAATTAAATATGGGGTAACCAACTTTCTGGATCCCCAAAATTCCATTATAAATTACTGTCATACAAAATGTACATGTATCTTTTTAATTACGATGTTCGATATATATTTGTATAAATTACCAAATATCAACAATATTTTAGCTTCCAATGATAGACGACAGATAACTGCTGCTATGAATGATTACAACAAGTATACATGTTTAAAATTTAGACCAGCTACCTATAACGACAGAAACAAAATCAGAATCCAAAATGGAGGAGGGTTTGTAATATTCTTTTATTAATTTTTTATTTTGTTACTCTTATAATTATACTTCTGTTTTGCTTTATACAAACATTATATTTACAGAGAATAGTTTATCATGTTTATATAGAATGGCCGCAAAAATGACAACTGTTTATTGACTGGACTAAATTGCAAAATTTTGTGTTTTTCTCAGCTTTTCAGAGGCAAGACTTTCAACTATTTAACTCCTTTACTAAATTAAACAAAGTATTCATTTTAAAATGCATGCATGCTTCTATGAATATGAATATTAAGTTTTAAATTTTTTTCCGTTGTTGTTAGTATTAGGGGCTTAAATTTGAAATGTATTCGTTGAATTATGAAAACCTTGTGATTTATTCCAATAAAAGAAAAACAAAGGATATTGGGTGTCAATCAATGACAAAACATCAGTACATGCACAGCAAAAAACACACAAAAAGCAAAGAAACAGGGCTTTTATTGCTGTTCTTTATCTCAAAGTCACAGTGAGGCCTTCAATAGTCATAAACATATGTATTTTACATTATTTATTGTTCTTTTTCACAGCTGTTCGTCCTTTGTTGGCATGCAAGGAGGTAGTCAAACTGTAACACTGGCTTCAGGTTGTAGGATAGTAAGTTTATTTTGTTATTCCTTCATATTTAAATTCCCTTTTTAATATTTGTTTGGTACTCTGTAGATATAAATAGGAAAAATTACAATTTCCGTTGAGTATATATGATCATGTCGGAAATATACACCTCATTAGGTTACCTCCTCTTGGATTAACTTCCTGCCTTTGAAAGTATTTTTTACATATTATAGCTGCCGCTCTTTGTTAATACACAAATTGACACAGGAAAATCTGATCCATACATGTAGTATTTCCTATAGAAATAGGACAATCTAAAAGCTTTTCGGCGTTCGTTTAACAAAACGTTTATTGAACAAGGACGCATAGACAAAGGCTTGCCGACTGATGGCTGTCTTTTGCTTGTTCTTAGAATGACATAAGAATTTAAAAATATCAATTCATGAGAAGATCAAAGAGATAACAAGGCAATATTTTCGAATGTATTCGTTAAACTTGTGTGTACAGTTACGGTCAGTGCATATTTATTTACAGTTTATTATTAAGGAAGGATCCTGTAAAATTATTCATTTTTACAGGTACACATTTTCGTGGACAAAAACAAATGTATTTTTCGTGGATACATGACTTCGTCGTTTTTCGAAATAATATAAAAATAAGGAGATTTGATATGATTGACAATGAGACAACTATCCACCAAAGTTCAAATGAAGTGGATGTAAGCAACTATAGGCAACCGTACGATCTTCAACAATGAGAAAAATACATACCGTATAGTCGGCTATGAAAAGCCCCGACATGAAAAATATATAAACAATTCAATTGAGAAAACTAACGGCCTCATTTATAACAACACAATTTACGAAAAACAAATATGACAGACATGAACCAATGACAACCAATGAACTACAGGCTCCTGACTTGGGACAGGCACATAACGAATGTGGCAGGGTTAAACATGTTTGTAAGCGCTCAACCCTCCCCCTAACATGGGACAGTGGTGTAACAACACAACATAAGAACAAACTATATAAATCAGTTGAAAAAGGCTTAACTCATCAGATCGATACAAAGCAGGAATGCATCAAACGAAAACACAGATCGGACGTGGCAGGGTATTTATCCATCACTCATCCCTAACAACAAAAAAGACACTTGGTACAGATCTGTGAGTACTCGCAGTTACTGACAGCTAGTTGAAAGCCAATAGCAACTAATACAAAAAAATCATGTATCAAAGACTAAAATATCAATCAGTACACATTCAACATCCAATGGATTTAATGTAAAGACGTCATTAACAATCAGAGAAACCATGACCTTGTTTAATGCCAAAATATAGATATCAACCAATAAAAACAATATTCAAAGATTTAATTACAGTGTTGAATTGGTAACCTTTTAGAATAAGTTTATTTAAAGGATTGATAAGTTTACCCGGATCGTATCTAAATTTCCGGGCTCGGTTTACAACATCACTGTAACATTTAGGATGTGCTATTCCGTATGTGCCAACTGTATACAAGCCTATAAAAATGTGTAGCTCATTGAAAATTTTGATTCTTGCAATTGGTACTCATATGAAATCCGGGAAAATTTGCCGTTTCAGAATCTGAACTGATAAATATATCTTGAGCGTAGTTATCAAGCCAGGGGACAGCACTCGTCAGTCTATTTCAGAATCTAAAGGATCATGGATAATCTCATTGTTCATATCCCAAATTGAAACCAAAGACACGTCATTATTTGAATTTCAATTGTTTGTAATCGTTGTAAGACAATCACACCATTTTGGTGTACGTTTTTGAAAATATTACCCAAAACGCATTAGATTCTGAAACGGCAAATTGGTAACACACGAATCTACAGTAAACCTGTATACGTAGTAATCATTTTCAGCGTTCTATTTTGTTATTTCAGAAACGTATTATAATACACGAACTAGGACATGCTGCAGGTTTCCACCACGAGCAGACGAGACCGGATCGGGATCAATATATCTCTCTTCGACTAAACAACGTACCGCCATCCGTCAGGTACAACTTCCAAAAATATACATGGAGCATTATCAACGCATACGGTGTACCATACGATTATTACAGTGTTATGCATTATGGAAGAAAGGTTTGGTTTTTTTTCTAAACACACGATTATTATGGTGTTTTTATGTTGCTGTTTTCTGTATTTGTATAAAAAAAAGATGATAGCAAATGAGAAAACTATCCATCAGAGTTCAGACAAAGTGGATGTAAACAACTATAGGCAACCGTACGGCCTTTAAACAATGAGTAAAACCCATACCTTATAGTCGGCTATAAAAGGCCCAAACATGAAAAATGTGAAGCAATTCAAACGTTAAAACTAACGGCCTGAAGTCGGTTTTACAAAAATACTTACGACTAAGATTGATCGTAAGTCATGAACAAAATCAGTATATTTACGATCAATCTTAGTCGTAAATTTTTTTGTGAAACCGACTCCTGATTTACAAAAAAAATAATTTACGAAAAACAAGTATGACAGACACGAACCAACGATAATCACTGAACTACATGCTCTTTTTTTTTGGTCCCGCCCCTGATGTAGATTCGGTCCCTGTAGAGGTCCGAGACTCGAATAAATGACGGTCAATACAGCTTATCGATACTATATACTATGTTCTATACGGAAACAGCCAGTTCATAACCCTTTTAATAGGTGACTCTAACTCCTTAAGTGAACTAGGAAAATTACTGCTCCGCGAGGCAGGTACAGGAAAATTATATAAATGTTACATATGAAAGGCTTATGACTTAATTCAAATGGCGATTCATGATGCTATACAAACAAATTGCAAAATAACAAAATTAATCGACATTTTTTTTATTTAAGATATTGTGCAAGAGTTTTCGATTTAAAAGCGCTGAAACTTAAATCTGGTTATAAATGTTCATAGATTTAGTGAGAAGGCGAGCTTGTTCTGTTGTTATTCACTCAAGAAATGTTTATTCATTTTAGGCGTTTTCACACAATGGATACGACACCATCATTCCAAAAGATTCAAAATTCCTCAATGTTATTGGAAAGAATTCTGGATTCAGTTTTGGTGACGTGAAGCTGTTGAATCTTATGTATAAGTGTGGAGGTATGTTGTTGAATCTTATGTATAAGTGTGGAGGTATGCTGTTGAATCTTATGTATGATTGTGGATGTATGTGGTTGAATCTTATGTATAAGTGTAGAGATATGTTGTTGAATCTTATGTTTAAGTGTGGAGATATGTTGTTGAATCTAATGTATAAGTGTGGAGGTATGTTGTTGAATCTTATGTATAAGTATAGAGGTATGTTGTTGAAACTTACGTATACGTATAAAGGTATGTTGTTGAATCTTATGTATAAGTGTAAAGGTTTGTTGTTGAATCTTGTGTATAAGTGTGGAGATATGTTGTTAAATCTAATGTATAAGTGTGGAGGTATGTTGTTGAATCTTGTGTATAAGTGTGGAGGTATGTTATGTTGTTGAATATTATGTATAAGTGTAGAGGTATGTTGTTGAATCTTGTGTATAAGTGTTGACGTATGTTGTTTAATCTTATGTATAAGTGTGGAGGTATGTTGTTGAATCTTATGTATAAGTGTGGAGGTATGTTATGTTGTTGAATATTATGTATAAGTGTAGAGAGGTATGTTGTTGAATCTTTTGTATAAGTGTGGAGGTATGTTATGTTGTTGAATCTTATGTATAAGTGTGGAGAATTGTTGTTGAATCTCATGTATAAGTGTGGAGGTATGTTGTTGAATCTTATGTATAAGTGTGGAGGTATGTTGTTGAATCTTATGTTTAAGTGTGGAGGTAAATTATGTCGTTGAATCTTTTGTATAAGTGTAGAGGTATGTTGTTTGATCTTATGTATAAGTGTGGAGGTATGTTATGTTGTTTAATCTTATGTATAAGTGTGGAGATATGTTGTCGAATCTTATGTATAAGTGTGGAGGTATGTTGTTGAATCTTATGTATAAGTGTGGAGGTATATTGTTGAATCTTATGTTTAAGTGTGGAGGTATGTTGTTGAATCATGTGTATAAGTGTGGAGGTATGATATGTTGTTGAATCTTATGTATAAGTGTAGAAGTATGTTGTTGAATCTTATGTATAATAGTGGAGGTATGTTGTTGAAACTTATGTTTAAATGTAAAGGTATGTTGTTGAATCTTATGTATAAGTGTGGAGGTATATTGTTAAATCTTGTGTATAAGTGTGGAGGTACGTTATGTTGTTGAATCTTATGTATAAGTGTAGAGGTATGTTGTTGAATCTTATGTATAAGTGTTGAGGTATGTTGTTAAAACTTGTGTATAAGTGTGGAGGTATGTTATGTTGTTGAATCTTATGTATAAGTGTAGAGGTATATTGTTGAATCTTATGTATAAGTGTGGAGGTATATTGTTGAATCTTATGTATAAGTGTGGAGGTATGTTATGTTGTTGAATCTTATGTATAAGTGTGGATATATGTTGTTGAATCTTATGTATAAGTGTTGACGTATGTTGTTGAATCTTATGTATAAGTGTGGAGGTATGTTGTTGAATCTTATGTATAAGTGTGGAGGTATGTTATGTTGTTGAATATTATGTATAAGTGTAGAGGTATGTTGTTGAATCTTATGTATAAGTGTGGAGGTATGTTATGTTGTTGAATCTTATGTATAAGTGTGGAGATATGTTATTGAATCGTATGTATAAGTGTGGAGGTATGTTGTTGAATCTTATGTATAAGTGTGGAGGTATGTTGTTGAATCTTATGTTTAAGTGTGGAGGTATGTTGTTGAATCTTATGTATAAGTGTGGAGGTATGTTATGTTGTTGAATCTTATGTATAAGTGTAGAGGTATGTTGTTGAATCTTATGTATAAGTATAAAGGTATGTTATGTTGTTGAATATTATGTATAAGTGTGGAGATATGTTGTTGATTCTTATGTATAAGTGTGGAGGAATGTTGTTGAATCTTGTGTATAAGTGTGGAGGTATGTTATGTTGTTGAATCTTATGTATAAGTGTGGAGGTATAATGTTGATTCTTATGTATAAGTGTGGAGGTATGTTGTTGAATCTTATGTTTAAATGTGAAGGTATGTTGTTGAATCTTATGTATAGGTGTGGAGGTATGTTGTTAAATCTTGTGTATAAGTGCGGAGGTATGTTATGTTGTTGAATCTTATGTATAAGTGTAGAGATATGTTGTTGAATCTTATGTATAAGTTTGGAGGTATGTTGTTAAATCTTGTGTATAAGTGTGGAGGTATGTTATGTTGTTTAATCTTATGTATAAGTGTAGACGTATGTTGTTGAATCTTATGTATAAGTGTGGAGGTATGTTATGTTGTTGAATCTTATGTATAAGTGTGGAAATATGTTGTTGAATCTTATGTATAAGTGTGGAGGTATGTTGTTGAATCTTATGTATAAGTGTTGAGGTATGTTGTTGAATCTTATGTTTTAGTGTGGAGGTATGTTGTTGAATCTTATGTATAAGTGTGGAGGTATGTTGTTGAATCTTGTGTATAAGTGTGGAGGTATGTTATGTTGTTGAATCTTATGTGTAAGTGTAGAGGTATGTTGTTGAATCTTATGTATAAGTGTGGAGGTATGTTATGTTGTTGAATCTTATGTATAAGTGTGGAGATATGTTGTTGAATCTTATGTATAAGTGTGGAGGTATGTTGTTGAATCTTATGTATAAGTGTTGAGGTATGTTGTTGAATCTTATGTATAAGTGTGGAGGTATATTGTTCAATCTTATGTACAAGTGTGGAGGTATTTTGTTGAAAATTTTGTATAAGTGTGGAGGTATGTTTAAGAAATAATTCAAGGCAGCCGTAGATTTAATTTCATTTAACCATGGGTTGGGCATTTATATTCGATTATTTTACCTCGAGCCTTAAATGAGTGTACACATTTAATTGCAGGATAAAGACAATAACTGTTTAGTGTCTTTAAATATCAGCTTTATTTGTACGAGGATAAGAAACAGGTATAATGCGAACTTCAGCGAGCTATTTCTCCTGTTTCGAGGCGAGTATAAATACAGGTGATATTTAATACACTAAACAGTTATTGTCTTTATCCTGCAATTAAATTTGTACATTTTTTTCCCATCCCAATTGTTGAATTTGTTTTTGAAAGAAATCGACAAGACTTAAACGCGGAATGCAATGAGGACCCCAAATTGAACTGTGACGTAAACAGTTATTTGACATAACCGTTCGCTCGCAACAGAAGCAGGATACCAGGAGACTATATACGTCTAGTATACGTATATCGCTTCGTGTTATCTGTACACCTTTATTATTATAGTAGAAAGGTCGATTGCAGGATAAAAACACTGATGACCCACTTGTTTTGTTGATTTTAAAATTTATTTAAGATTTTTTTGGAGAAATGAGATAAACTACTCAAAGTTGATTTGTCAGTGAATCGATTCATTTTAAATGTGATACAATTTGTATATAATTAAGCAGAAATACATACGATCAAAGCCTTATGTGGGCGGATTTACCGGACTGCATCGTAGGTTTTTTTTTGTATGAGGCTGAGAAACTGGGGAGGTTTTACCGAGCCCTTCCCCAGTTTTGTGCCGAATACAAAAAAGTATATTTTTATTACATTGACCTTATATTGTTTTTATACTTCAACTTAAATCAATGCATTGATAGCTATTTAAATTGTAACACAAATTTCAAACTTATTTTCACCCCTTAATGAATCCCTGATTGTGGAAAAAGTGTTCCATGATGAAATTGATATTGCACAAAATATAGGTGTTACTATATTTAGGAAATAAACACCACTAGTTGCAGTATAAATCATTGTTTTTACTCATTCAAAGCTGACTATGTTGTTGCTTTCACGTGGAACCGACGATTTTTACATAGATACCTAAAATAACAAAATAATGATGAAGTCCCCATCAATTTATTATTTAACAATATTTTTTACAATTTGATTTCTTTTTTTTTTTTTTTTTTTGTAATCGAATAGAAAGTAGGTCGTTTAAAGGGGGCGTAACGTGGAACAGACAATTTTGTGCATTAATGCGTTTGCGCTAAAGGTAGGTTACTGTGATTATACTGGTTGACGATAATAGATCGTCATATTAGAATGTTGAATAATCATTTAAAAATGTCCCATCTATTTTTGATTTAGAATCGTCTTTTCTTAGTTGTGGTATTCTCAAGTTTTAATTGTTAAAATTTCCGATTTTCTTTTTTGTTTCAGCAGAAACATAAACACAAAAGTGTCATGTTGAAAATAGAAGATCGAGTACTTATAAACAATAATGTATGATTTATTTAGTTTCCGATTAATAATAACCCACGATATATCTGACATTCTCTATGTTATTTGACCTTGCATGAGGATCGGGTTTATACAAAAGTGAATAATGGTCAAACAAGTAGACGATAGACAAAATGGAAAAAAAAAGACAGCACAAAGAATAATGGTAAAGGGGGTGGGGATTCAAAATATAAACAAAAGCAAATGGTTACAAAAAGTAATAGAAAAAAACGGCTAAAAAATTAAAGAAGAAAAACATGATTTATCCCTCATGTATGTAATTTTCCTCTTTATTTTCAGATAGTTGTGGAAATAAGAAATGTCCTAGCAACGGATTTGTTGGTAAAGACTGTAAATGTTATTGTCCGGGAAATCCCGTTAAACTTTGTTCTGGTGGTGGCGGAGGAGGAGGCGGTGGTGGTGGCGGCGGTGGTGGCGGAGGCGGTGGTGGTGGTGGCGGCGGCGGTGGCGGTGGATCAGGAGGAAGTGAGTACCTTTTTTTAATTTACTATCCTATCTTATTTTTGTTAATGACCATTTTGTCAGAAAAACAAAAGAATGACAAATAGAAAATAAAGTCAATTAATGGATTGCAAAAAATCATATGATGTGTTTAAGGATGTAGTTAGGTGAAATTAAAAAAATCTAGAATTTAAAATTGATCCTATAAGTCAGAAGAACATAAGTTCAGGAACAAAATGTGCTAAAAATATTACTAGGTTATGGAACTCTTTTATGAGATATTTGATTTTTTAAAAATGGCGGGAAAAGGTTGACTCGAACTTTTACCTTATATTTAGCATTGACATTATTTGGGTCTCGAATCGTCAGAAAAAAATCTAGAATCTGATTAAATTTTAGTAATGACCTTTTTGTGAGCTATTGAAGTGGTTTATGAAAAGAAAAGTGGGGGATATGGGGCAAACAATTTTATTCTGTATCGTAGGAAAAACCCAAGGAGTCCGAACATCTGACAAAAATTCTTAAGGGAGCTACCGTTTGATTTTTATAGTGAGGGGGGGGGGGGGGGGGGGATCTAGGATGAAATTTGAAAAAAAGGCAGGACAGGAGTTTTGAGTAAGGAAGGATGAGCAACTTCGCAAAAAAAAAAGCAGGATGACAATTTATGTAAAAAAAAGTCAGGATAAACTAATAAAAAAAAAAGGCAGGACCGAATTTGATCCAGAAACCAACAACAAAACCAAAAGAAACATGTATGTAATGTTTCATTCTGTTTATAACAATTTTTAGCTTGCAAGGATAACAACTCCAATTGTGCTTACTGGGCTGGGAGAGGAGAATGTACGAAGTCCGCTAAATATATGTTAGTTAATTGTAAGAAATCATGTAACAAGTGTAATGGAGGCGGCGGCGGCGGCGGCGGCGGCGGTGGTGGTGGTGGTGGTGGTGGCGGCGGTGGCGGAGGCGGAGGCGGTGGTACCGGAGGTAAGTTCTAAAATACAACTGCACATAGTCGGGACAATAATGAGAACCTTTACAGCCAACGTAATCAAATTATTTCAAGTCTTTCATAGATCTTCCATATGAATTATATATTATTCAGTGTCAATTTTATTCTGATTTGTCACTTTTAATTCTCTATGAAAGCTAGCAAAAATAGTATTAATCTAAAACCAAACATTGTATATTTGCAAACCACAAATAGAAACATGAAAATCGATTTGTAACGTTCCATGAATTTATATGTGATCCTAAGTTAAACATCCCCTCCCTTCTTTGCCTGAAATTTGGATTTCGCTCTTCCCGACACTTTTTTTTTATAAAATCGTATTTCTTACGTGAAAAAGGGTGATACACAAAATGACACACTTTTCCATGATCAATATTGACCCTATTTAACCTAATTGAATATGATTACTAAAAACCATTTATTATCGACTTGACGACTGGTAAAAACGTGTGTGTAGTGTTTTTGGTTTCTTTCGGCAAATTTAACATTTTTAAGTAAGCATGCTCTGTTAACAACTCATTAGTTCCTTAACATTACTTAACTGTGTAAGAAAGTGACCAATATATAGAATTAAGAAGATGTGGTATGAGTGCCAATGAGACAACTCTCCATCCAAGTCACAATGTGTAAAAAATAAACAATTATAGGTCAAAGTACGGCCTTCAACACGGAGCCATGGCTCACACCGAACAGCAAGCTATAAAGGGCCCCAAAATGACTAGTGTAAAACAGGAAAACCAACGGTCTAATCTATATAAAAAACGAGAAACACTTAAGAACTACATCAACAATATATATATATGTATGACTTTGGTGACTTGTACCTGAAGGCAGATTAAACAAAAAAATGTAACATTTTTTCTTTTCTGTCCAAAAAGGTACACATGTATCGATAACAAATTAATTTCATAAGTTAATTACTAGTACAATATTTTTATGACCCGCCGTCAGAGGAGGGGCCTTAAGCGTTACCCTTGTCCGTCTGTACGTCCGTCCGTCCGTCTGTATGTACGTCCTAAAATTGGTTTCGGTTCTCTAAATCTACTTTACCTCAACCAAATGTTATGAAACTTATACACAATGCTTATTACCACAAAACGCAGATTAAGATTGAATTTGGGTGGCGTCACTTTTACTGTTCAAGAGTTATGCCCCTTTACAATAGAAAAATTGATAAATTTTTCGTTTCCATTCTATAACTTAAGTTTTCCTCAACTAAATGTTATGAAACTTATACACAATGCTCATTACCACAAAACTCAGATCAAGTTCGAAGCCCCTTTACAATAGAAAAATTGATAAATTTTTCGTTTCCATTCTATAACTTAAGTTTTCCTCAACTAAATGTTATGAAACTTATACACAATGCTCATTACCACAAAACTCAGATCAAGTTCGAAGCCCCTTTACAATAGAAAAATTGATAAATTTTTCGTTTCCATTCTATAACTTAAGTTTTCCTCAACTAAATGTTATGAAACTTATACACAATGCTCATTACCACAAAACTCAGATCAAGTTCGAATTTGGGTGGTATCACTTTTACCGTTCATGAGTTATGTCCGTTTATAACATTACATGCAAGCGGGGTCATCATCTGTGTCCCATGGACACATTCTCCATTTATTTATTATGTATCACGTGTCTTTATAAATATTCATCTTCTAAAGTTCTGGATAATCCAAGTACAAATCATTATATCCCTATTTCTACTAGTAGTTAGTAAAAAAATTCTTATTTGAACTCACTTTAATTATTAAAAGAGAGGCGAAAGATACCAAAAGGACATTCAAACTCAAAAGCCGAAAATAAACTGACAACGCAATGGCTAGAAAAGAAAAAGACAAACAGACAAACAAAAGCACACATAACACAACATAGAAAGCCAAAGACTGAGCAACACGAACCCCATCAAAAACTTGGGGTGATATCAGGTGCTCCGGAAGGGTAAGCAGATCCTGCTCCACATGTGGCACCCGTCGTGTTACTTACGTAGCAAACCCGGTGATACATTTGTAAGTCCAATTCGGTACATTACATTCCGGGAAAAGAGAAGGGGATTCACGTTACGACAATTGAAACATATCCGTTGTCATCTGTGAGACAGATATCCCATAACGGTCAACCCACTCGTGATAGTGTCCGTAAAATTTACGAAGGGAAGATTTCAACTTTACCACTCGAAACTCTTTGTTTAATAGCTTCCTTGTGAGCAGCTATCCTCTATCGAGGAAATCATGATAGGAAAAAACAAGCCCTGGAATATTATAGCATCTATTGATAATGTCAGTTTCAGAGAATTTATTGTTTGAATCAGAATGCTTTTTTAAAAAGTACGATTTATCCCTCCCTAACAAAAGACACTTGCATCTACGTTGGCCATTCCTTTTTATGAAACAAAGCAGGTATTTATACAGCAGAATACTAATATCTCCTTATACAAAGTAGAGTTATCATATGCGCATACAGTGTTCTATACATATATGATCAAAGCATAACAATATTAACCTTGAAATCTTAATAATGGTAAACACTTTGAGCAGGATCATGCACAGATAAAAGTACCAGTTGTGCTAACTGGGCGAAGATAGGGGAATGTACGAAGAATCCAGCATACATGCTGACCAGCTGTAAGAAGTCTTGTAATAAATGTGGAGGAGGTGGAGGGACTGGTGGCGGTGGTAGCGGAGGCGGAGGTTTGTATAAGATAAGGATTATAACACCAATTCATGATGTAAATCTGGTGCATGTACTGGGTCATTTTCTCTGCTGAGGGTATCACCAGCCAAGTACCCAGTGCTTTGATGCTTTCATGGAAATTAGGATATTGTTTTATTTTATATTTTCTGTCGTAAAAATTTGAAAATCATTGGAATTAAAGAAACATATCTCCTTCATGCACAGCTCTGGTTCCTTGTGTTGGTTTGGCTTTACTTTGTTTGGTTTTTACAGCTCTGGTTCCTTGTGTTAGTTTGGCTTTACTTTGTTTGGTTCTTACAGCTCTGGTTCCTTGTGTTGTTTTGGCTTTACCTTTGATCCTCACAACTCTGATTCCTTATGTTAGTTTGGCTTTACTTTGTTTGGTTCTTACAGCTCTGGTTCCTTGTGTTGGTTTGGCTTTACCTTTGATCCTCACAACTCTGATTCCTTGTTTTAGTTTGGCTTTTACTTTGTTTGGTTCTTACAGCTCTGGTTCCTTGTGTTGGTTTGGCTTTACTTTGTTTGGTCCTTACAGTTCTGGTTCCTTGTGTTGGTTTGGCTTTACTTTGTTTGGTTCTTACAGCTCTGGTTCCTTGTGTTAGTTTGGCTTTACCTTTGATCCTCACAGCTCTGGTTCCTTGTGTTAGTTTGGCTTTACTTTGTTTGGTTCTTACAGCTCTGGTTCCTTGTGTTGGTTTGGTTTTACCTTTGATCCTCACAACTCTGATTCCTTGTTTTGGCTTTACTTTGTTTGGTCCTTACAGCTCTGGTTCCTTGTGTTGTTTTGGCTTTACATTTGGTCATCACAGCTCTGGTTCCTACTTTACCTTTGGTCCTCACAGCTCTGGTTCTTTGTTTTGGCTTTACTTTGTTTGGTCCTTACTGCTCTGCTTCCTTGTTTTGTTTTGGCTTTATCTTTGATCCTTGTTGGTTTTATCATCTGTATTAGGTTTTGGTTGCTGGCCTTGATCATCAATGAAGAGACATTAATTTTCAGAATGCACATCTTGCACAGTACAATTGCCTTAAAATATCGAAAAAAAAAGGCCAATAGAGCGCAACATGTATTTTAATGCTGAATAGATTTTTAAAAGTATCGATATGCATTTACCATTTTTTCTCAAATTTAATGTGTTGCCTTCTTATTGGTCTCGTGGTAGCATACTCTCTTCGAGTGCAGGAGGTCGCCTGCTCAATTCCTGGCGGGGTCAAACCATTGAATTCAAAATTGACATTTACTGCTTTCTATGCTAAGCAAACAGCATCTAGGACAAAAAGCATAAACTGTAATGCTCTGAATCTGAATAGAATAATGTGTCTGGATAGGGTGATATGTCTTGCATGGAACTGTTATCTAATGAAGTAGAACCCGCTCAGGGTGTCGGTCTAGAAAAATTCTCATATTACATTAACAGCTTGCTAATTATTCCTAATTATGCATTTCATGTGCCCCAGTACGTTAAATGTTCCAGCGACTCTATCATCATTATTTAGTTTGATAATTTTGTGCCGTTAATATGTTAACTTTTTTTATTGACTTATATTGATATATTTATGTGATGAATTGGATGTGTGTGTTTATTCTTGTTTTTTTTCGGAGGGAAAGCTAAAGCTGGGGTAGGTGGGCGATTTAAACGATAAAAACTTATAGTATGTCTGCATGTGCTCTTTATAATAGTGTTGAAATACGATAGTTTTGAATAAAAAAAAATATCAAAATAACTACAATCAATAATCTTTATTTCAGGATGTAAGGACAGTAATAATAATTGTGCATCTTGGGCAAGGAGGGGTGAATGTAGGAGAAACCCAGCTTATATGTTAAAATACTGTAAGAAATCATGTAATCAATGCGCAAGTAGCAGTGACACAGATACAACTGGTAAGACTACATTTCTTTAGTTGGATTTATTAATTTTTTTATATTTCATGCCGTAATCTGACACAATGGTATCAGCAGCCCAGTAGTCAGCACTTCTGTGTTAACATGAATTACCTTTGATATGGACATAGCTATTAATTAACTATTTACAAAACTTTGAATATTCCGAAATTATAAGGATGTTCTGCCCCGGGAATAGATTACCTTAGCTGTATTTGGCAAAACCTTTCGGAATATTGGGTCCTTAATGCTCTTCGATTCATACTTTGTTTTGCCTTGTAAACTTTTTTTGATTCGAGCGTCATGATCACTGATGAGTCTTTTGTAAACGAAACGCGCGTCTGGCATACACAATTTTAATCCTGGTATCTTTTATGAGTTTATTTATATATGGAGGGATATCAAATTGAACTATTTTCTCTGAAATTAAGATGAAAAAACATAATATCATTGCTACAAAAAACCTTAGCTCTTACATTGTATTTTGACGTTTATTCTGTTTGAAATGGCTTTCGGAGACCAGATTGCTGGCTCATGTATCGCTAACGAACTCAAAAGAACTACAAGTAATTGTTAAATTCGCATAGTTTCAGTCTTTAGTTTTCTATGTTGTGTTTTGTGTACTATTGTTTGTCTGTTGGTCTTTTTCTTTTTTAGCCATGGCGTTGTCAGTATATTTTTGACATGAGTTTAAATGTCCATTTGTTATCTTTCGCCTCTCTTTTAGTTTAACTTGTAGCATTTAAACCTCTTAAGAAATTAAATAAAATGTTTCAGCTGTTCCCTTTTACAATTTGTTTTTCCGATTTCAAAAATTCACAATGAAGATGACTAAAGCTAAATTTATCTACCATCATTGTACACATATATAAGTTTTTGTGAGACGACGGAAGAAGAACTGATATTTAATCTACTATAGAAAAAGGGATCGCTTAAGAAGAAAATGAAAATAACACGTTACTGATACACATTAACAAATTCTGGCCCCTTTAATGAGCGTTGTTAATGTGTTCCATTCTATTATAGCTCTCTGCATGCTGAAACAATGTAAACCAAGTCAATGTCGGCAAATGAAGCAGTCTAAAAAATGTTTTGTCTTAATTTCAGGCAGTTGTGAAGACCATAATCGATATTGCCTATCCTGGGCCTCGACTGGAGAATGTACTAGAAATCCAGCATACATGTTAGAATCTTGTGCAAAATCTTGCAATGCTTGTGATAAAGTTTCACATGGTAAGGGCAACATTTCATTTTACATTTCTGATTCAATCGTCTTGAAATATATAACTCGACTAAATTTCTTCGTGAACTACATAAAAATCGGAGAAAACATAGCACCCTAATTACTGAAGAAAAATAAAGTAGTGCAATTGAAAAGAAAAAAAAACATAGATCCCTTCGTCAAATTATTTATCAATATCCTTCTATTTAATCATAGAGTATCATTTGAATAGATTATCGTTGTTGCAAGATTTACTTAAAATTCTGAAAATGAGTGTTCAACTAGATATATTTGTGTAGGTCATTCAACATTACATTTAACAGCCAAAGATGTATAAGACCGAAACATGTGAAGAGCTAAATGATTTTTCAATTTCGAAATGCAATTTGTGTCACCTTTTACTCTAGAACTAAAAATCAGATCTCCCTTAAATTTGTAGCAGGCATTCTGTTAGCATGCTTTATCGGTACTATACGATACATTTTCACATTCATTGCTGATCAACTTCCTGCTAACCGAATACTTATATATACTTATTATGGTCATGTATGAAATTTGTGTCACTTTTTGCTTTGGAAATACATTTTTTTTTAAATTAATAACAAGCTTTCTGTGAACATTCCCACCAAAGCTACGTATATTCACACTTATCGCTCATCAACTTCCTGTTTACCGAATAATTATGCATTACTGCATCATTTGTACATATAATGACAATGTATGAAATTTCCGACACATTTGTCAGACATCTTTCCTGTGAGCATGCTATACTGTGTGATACGTTTTCACATACATTGGTCTTCATTTTCTTGATTACCCAATACCTATAGCGGGGTTATCATTACTGAGCAGAAGCTCGTGTTTCACTTGAGTGGCTAAGCACAGCCTCTTTACAGTGAGTATGTTACATTGAGACCACATACCGTCGGAAGTATACAGAAATGGAATATTTATTTCAGAGATTTGTAAAACATGTTAAACGTAATTATGTTTCATTATATAAGATATTTCAATTCTAATTTAATATATTTATTCGATGAATAACAATTTTCAATTCAGTTTTGCTTAAATTTATTCTTTGGTTAGCATTATTTGTCAGTAATCATGTAGGAAACAATTAAATCAATAAATTAATCTTCAGAATTTTAATCAAAAGTATACTGTGAAGTTTTGTTCTTGATTTGTAAAGCAATTGGATTCTACTTTTCAAAGATATCAACTATAATATTCACTTTATCATTGACTTCATTTCAGCTCCTGTTTGTCATGATTTGAATAACAACTGCAATGTGTGGGCTCAGACCGGCTACTGTGGTAGTTACGCTCCATATATGTCTACTAACTGCAGAAGTTCATGCGGATTGTGTTGAAAACGTACGTAAAGGTGTATTATTTACATTGCATTTTTTTTTTCTCTTAGAGCTAATTTCCTAATTTGGTTGGCTTGCTTGCTTTGTTTGTATAAATGTTTGCTCAAGCATTGTTATTAAAATTCACATCTACAAACAATATAAATAGGCGGAGTTAAACCTGTATACATTATATTTAGATTCCTAATCTTAAGGATAACATCAAATCAAATTAAAGTATAATGTATACAGGTTTTACTCCGCCGTTTCATATTGTTTGTAGATGTCAATCTTAAAAAAAATGCTTGAGCAAATATTTATACAAACAAAGCAAGCAAGTCAAACAAAATCTCACTCTGCAAGCATTTGGAAATTAGCTCTTATCAAATTTGAAAGCTGTTTCCGATTATGATTATATATGCTGCAGTTGTCATGTGCAAAAGCATGTTCATCACGTATATGCTCGAGATAAAAAGTAAATGAAAATTGTTTACGTAAGAAAGCATGGAGTTGCAACGTTACTTTAAGGACATATTGCATAATTTTATGAGCATCACGTTTACTGATTCGAACTGTATCTATAAAGGCGCTTATTCAGTCACTTAGATCATTAAAAATAACACTTTATAAATGTCGTGCGTCTGTAGCGCTTTTTTTGTTTTGTTTAACCATCATCCGTTTGGAACGCTGAAACCTAAACATTTAGTTTAAACATATACCAAGTCAGGTATATGGCAGTTGTTATCAAATAGTTCGTTTCTATGTGTGTTGGCGTTTGTTTTTGTTGCACTTCGGTGTCCCTGTTGTTCCTTTGTTTTCCTCTTATAGTTGATGTGTTTCCCTCGGTTTTGGTTTATAACCCGGATTTGTTTTCTCTCAATCGATTTATGACTTTTGGACATCGGTATACTATTCGGTATACTACTCGGGATTTTCTCGCTGCGTTGAAGACCCATTGTTGGCCTTCGGCTGTTGTCTGCTCTATGGTCGGGTTGTTGTCTCTTTGACATATTCCCCATTTCCATTCTCAATTTTACTGTTGCCTTTATTTATTGTTCAACATGACAAATGGATAAGACGCAAGTTAATTTAGTAATGTCTTCTCCAAACCTAAACATTTGATAGTTAGGGATGTATTAGTACCTAAAACGTTAGGAGCTAAATGACCAAAAAGGGACATGGTTTTACAAATTGTGACTTGGATGGAGAGTTGTTTCATTGGCACTCATACCACATCTTCTTATATCTATATAAAGAGCCATTGGGATAACTTGCGCCAGTATGATTACAAAATGACTAGTAATTAATAAAAAGCATTGCATTGTATATTATGTGTTTCTATACTCATACAAGCTCTTTTGTTTTCATTGCAGGTTTTGTGCTTTCTTCCATAAACATGAATTTTACAACTTCCATACAAGAAGTTATGGAGTTCAATATCATTAAATGATCACAATGTCGACGAAAACTATTTTCTTTTTTCTTATTGCCTTTCTTTCAAATTGTGTCACCATTTATATTTGTAGATATTCTTGCATAATTGTGTATTCTCATTTACAACTCATAATCATTATAATTGTTATACATGTATCATGCAAATTAAAAGACTTTATATGTCTGTAAAACATTTTGTCTGTTTCTCTTTTGTGGCAATTACAATAGTTATAAACAAAAAAGCAAACCAATATATAGTGGATGGCTACCATATTGGCAATCAAATCACATTTTTTCAATTTATATAGTCATCTCAAAAAAACTTAAAATTACATAATTGTCACATGAAGAGCATTTCTTTATCTACCATTTCTATGTATATAGCAAAAAGTATAACAAAAATACCAAACTCCAAGGTCATTAGGGGAAATTAAACGCTATCAACCTACAGAACGAGTTGAAACAACAATAATATCCCTGTTTTGGTACAGGCTTTTCCCGGAAAAAATGTGTTAAACCTGGTTTTATAATTGTTTGTTTTGAATACAATTACACGGAGGAAGTGCAGGTATTTGCCAACTGAAGCAAGCGAGCAACAATAATAAAACCAGAAAAACAATGTCAAGGTCAACATTCTGGCATAAGAAATAGATGAACATCCAAAATCTACAACAGGCTTGACAGTTCGGATACATTAAGCAGAAACTAAAAAAGCATCTTCAATCAACACATAATTTTTAATGAAACACTCGACCTCTTATTTTAAATAAAGACAACCACATTAAAGTATGTTTAGCCTTAGATACATGATTTATCTTATTAGTTGTTATTTACTTTGAACTAGCTTTCAGCAACTGCCAGTAATTTTAGATCTGTACTTTTTGTTTTTTGTGTTTTTGTTAGTTTTTTTTTGTGTGCTTTGTATCGATTTGATGAGTTTTGACCTTTTCGGCTGATTGTTAAAGTTTGTTCTTGTGTTGTAGTAACACCACTGTCCCGGGTTAGGGGAAGGGTTATGCGCCAGTAAACATGTTTACCCCGCCACATTCAATTTGTTCCAAGTTAAGAGTCTTTAATTCAGCGGTTGCCGTTTGTTGCTATATATTATAATTGTCTTTCGTTTACTGTTTTGTACATAACTTAAGCCGTTAATGTTATTGTTTGAATTGTTTATCCTTTGTCATTTCGAGGCCTCTCATAGCTTACTATGCGATATGGACTTGCTTATTGTTGAGGGCCATAATTGTTAGCTTCTTCGAAATTTGGTCTTTTTGGAAGGTTGTCTCATTATCAATCATATCACATCATATTTTTTATTATGTCTAACCAAACTTTTTTAGAACTAAAACTTCTTCCTCTTTCTCACGATCAGTGTAAAAACGAAGAATTTATTTTAGTATGTTCACGCTGATGGTTCAAAATAATAAGCTTCTTTCAAAGATTGGTATAAATTGATACTATATAATTAACCAAACCAGAAAAGCTAAAATAAAATGAAAGGTTCGTGTCATTGTTTTTGAGATATATGTAATGGAAAACTTGGCGGGAAATGATTATTTCTAGATTTTTCTTATATTTAACATAAGCATCTTTTTTCTTTCTAAAACTATGAAAAATAACAAGGATTTATTAGGTTTTCGAACAGTATGTGATAAAACTGTTAAGAGGAAAGCAGAGGTTACCGGGCAAAATTTAAATTCCACTATATTGATAAAACTGGAGGATTCCGGATATCCGATAAAATTCAAAAACAAGAGAAGCAAACATCCTTAATACGTACAACACAAATATATACTCAGAACGCACATTTTCGATAATATCAGTATAACTTACGAAATAAATAAATAAATAAATAAATAAGATTAACAAAAATACCAAACTTCAGGGTAAATTCAAAAAGTGGAAGCCCTTAAAAACTGACAAAATCAAACGTTATCAACCAACGAAACGAATGGAAAACAATTGTAATTTTCCTGACATGGTACAGGCATTTTTAGAAGAAAATGGTGGATTAAACCTGGGTTTATAGCTAGCTAAACCCCTCACTTGTATGACAGTCGCATAAAATTCCATTATATTGACAATAATGTGTGAACAAAACAAACAGACATAATAGGTAAAACTGTCAAAAAGAGGGGTACAGCAGTCAACATTGTGTACAATCTTAATCACTATAAAAACAAACCAAAACGTCAACAACGAAAAACAAGATGGCATATAGACAAAGCACATAAGCAAACATGAAAGACAAAATGAACCCCACCAAAACTGGGGAGTATCTCATGTTCTCCGGAATGGTAAACAGATCCTGTAAACTATTGTTTGTTCGTTTGTCAAAATTATTTGACCCATTGTTATCGTCGTCTTTGTTTTACTTATGGTTTTACCCCCTTAAATTGTTTTATTTCTTTTCGGCTAAGCGTGTTGGTTAAACTCTAAATCCTCATCGAGTTAACATGTTCTCGTTTGGAAGTGCATGCAATATTTTTACAGAATCTTTCAAGAGCATCTATCTACCCTTTCGTTATGATGGCAGTATCGATGTAGGGACTGACGGATGGTTGAACTATCGGCAAAGGACAGAACTAACAGCTGCAACGATAGATTGTTAGTCACAGCATAATTCTTTTGACATTTGCAGGAATATACAAATACGTGCACTGAATTTAGTAATGTATGAAGCAGAACTCATTTAAATCTTCAAACGTTTCAAAAGATTAAACGCTTCTTTCCAAATTATTAAGTTGTGCGTTGATGTATCGTCATTCGATAACCCATATTTCAGTGCGTGCTGGCATCCTCAGCTTGTCATAAAATATTGTTTCATTTATTTGTATGTTTTACTTAATTTTTTACTCAATTCAGTTGTTTGACTGTGATGTATGTTTACACAGTTTTGGCTGCTGGATCCCAATTATTGTCACATTAATCTATTATATTGGTTTGGGTTGCTCACCGAATTTTGTCAATATAACGGAACTATTAACAACTCTGATACAAGTGAGAGGTATAGCCGCTAATTTCTTCGGATAATGGTTGTACCAAGTCAGGAAATGCAATGGTTTTTCACTTGTTGATTGATAGCGTTTAGTATTGTCATTTTTTATGGACCCCCCTTTTGAATATGTCTTTGAGTTCAGTATTTTGTTTAACTTTTATACACAAATGAACTTGGATTAAGATAACTAACTTATAAAACAATTCGGTCAGATTCATGTCTATATCCTTTCTTCAGAAATAAACGAGTTCAAACTAGGATGTATAATAAACGGAACGTTTTCAGTTTCTAATCTTCAACTTCCTATCTCATAGTAAAAAAAGAACATTTGCTCCAAACATGGGAGTGTTGATATGTAATTGATATCATGATATTTGCGAACATTTGTACATGATATAGATTAATCAACAGGGTGAACCTCTTTCAAAATAACTTCCGCCGCAAAGTAATTGGAACGACGATGGAAAATACCATTTAAAAAATTTTGCAATTGGCATCACACACTGGTTGACTGATAACTTGTGTCCGTGATTAAACTCATGAGAGATACGTGCTTACTGTATTAGATAGTATTTCACAAGAATAGTTGTCTGATCTGTGCATTCGTCTAATATGTGCTATAATCTGTCGAATATTTTTGACCGATTCTGAATTTACATAGTGATTTATGCATGCATAACAGGTGCCTCTAATCCTATTGAGGAAACCGGTCTTGCCTCAATTAGATTTCTTACAATTCGGTCTCTTTTGTTTATTATATGTTGCTATATTATAAGTTATTTTACCCGTTTAACAAATTGGTTAAATATTTCACCATTTCAATTTGCTGCAATCTGTTTTGATATACCGGTATGTGACTAACATACGGTATTCTTTATACTATTAAAGAGAGGCGAAAGATACCAAAGGGACAAACTCATAAGTCGAAAATAACTGACAACGCCATGGCTAAAAACGAAAAAGACAAACAGACAAACAACAGTACACAAAACACAACATAGGAACATAAAGACTGAGCAACACGAACCCCAGCAAAAACTGGGGGTGATCTCAGGTGCTGCGGAAGGGTAAGCAGATCCTGCTCCACATGTGGCACCCGTCGTGTATAACGCAGGCTCTTTATTACGACGGCCTTTTAATGACTTTAACAACATTAAATTAATAAGATTTGGTTTGAAAAATTACTTTCAATTTAAGTCCATGTCAACACGTATATCTTGTCTATTTGTGTTGAATTCACATGCTTTACCACTGGAGTTGTATTGCATTCTTGATAGAAATACTGAAACATAAAATCAATAATTTCTTTACAGGCGTATATCTGGTTTGCATGAGACAATATAACTTTATTATAAAAGGGAACAAAATTATTCAAAATAAAGGAATATATCTCCTCATGTTACCCTGATTCCTTGTACGGCTTTGGTATACTTTTTGTCTTTTTTGTTTATAAGCTCTTATTTTTTTAAATAACTTTTGGATTTTCAAATATTTTTGCATCGAGAGTTACTGAAGAGACATTTATTGTCGAAATGCACATATGGTGGAGTTAAGTTGGTACCGTCAATGTTTTTACGCCTGTTTTATGGTCATTGAAAAGGAGAGGCGAAAGTTAAAAAAAATCTATGGTCTATCTTTAATGGAAATATAGGGATATATTTCTAAAACTACATTGTTTGTAGTGAAATGTTCTATCTCCCGAAAAGATGCTTTATTTATCTAAGTTGCCTGTCTATTAAAAAAAAAACAATCTAACACAGAGTTACTCTTCATGTACTAAAATTTATTCCTATCAAACTTTGTATGTCTCAGTAAAATATTAGTGATATTGCACTTTTAAACTTTAATTTAAATGTTTACCCACATTACCAAATGGGAAATACATAGATATAAGAAGATGTGGTATGAGTGTCAATGAGACAACTCTCCATCCAAGTCAAAATTTATAAAAGTAAATTATTTTAGGTCAAAGTACGGTCTTCAACACGAAGCCTTGGCTCACACCGAACAGCAAGCTATAGAGGGCCCCAAAAAGTACTAGTGTAAAACCATTCAAACGGGACACCCAACGGTCTAATCTATATACAAAACGAGAAACGAGAAATATAAGATCCACACGAAGAGTGTTTTTATGGTTGTGGTGATGAGCATGAATATATATCTTGTCTTGCCAGTATGTCACCTACCCTGATC